TTTAGGGATGAGATTTGGTCTGGTGATGACAGGACCGTCTCTATAACTCCTCCGAACGGAGGGGGTTGGGTTGCAAACTGTAACTTGTAACCATTTGCATAACACCTTGTCCATCCATCTGACCAGCGAGCATGTTTTAGCCACTCTACGTAACGTTCGTGGAGTGAACGTGTGTTTAAGTGATGCGTCATGTTTTGTACGGCTGTCACCAGTCCGCCCCTCAACCGCCGTCATGCGTCGCGGGAATGTTTTCCACATGGCCCAGGGCGAGGCTTCCTCGAAAAGGCTCTGAACGCGCCCGTGCGCTGCGTTCGGACCGCGGACCAACCTTCATGTACAGGTGGGCCGGTGTATGCTGAGGCGAAGCGTGTGACAGCTGATGACGCCGTGGGGCTGCGCGTTCGACGTCGCTGTGCGAACTTTGAGAGGCGGAGGGCGTGACTTCATCTACGCCGTGCTGTTGGAGTGAAGGCTGCGAGCCCCGCGGGAGCACACGTTTTCTCTGGAGGGACGTGCGCCGCTCTCGCTGGAGGCGAGACTCGTCACCGGGTTCGTTCAGCTGTCTCATGCTTATGCTGCCGTGAGCTGCCGAGCGCTGAGACGCGGTGGGTGACGGCTGCCCGCGTTTGCTTTGGTGAGGCGTGTGTTGCTCTTGCTGAGAGCGAGGACCTCCACCGGACCCGGCCTGCGGTCCCACATTTATACAGATGTGAGCCGGTGAGCGCCGGGAAGCTGTGTGTGCACCATCATCAACGCAGCGCCGTTGGATGGAGGCTGTTTGCATCGCACGAGTGCGCGTTTGACACCGCTTGGGTGAGGATCGTGCAGCTCGGGTTGACAACGAGTTATTTCGCTTACCATTGTGTCGTGTGAGCGACTCGTCATGTCTTGGAGCGACGGTGAGTTTAAAAAACCTTTATTTAAGTACACCGGCTCGTTATGTGTGGAGGATGTGTGCGCAGCTGCTGTGAGTTCATCCGAGCTTACAGACTGGCTAAAGACAGACACTTTGATCATTGAATGATGATTTATTTCAACTTTCGTGTCACTTTTACACACACCCTCCGCAGACCGTCATTTTTTAAAACTTCTCCCCCTTGAGCTCTGCGATTTGTTTGCCCAGAGCGCTGTCTGCAGGCAATCTCTGGGGAAACGCTGAAT